GTGTGCATGTGGCAGTGTTGTTGTATGAGTGGCAGATGTTGCATTGTTGTGGGTTTTTTCTGATAGAGTTTACTTTATAAGCGAGGACACCATAAACTATGTGTGTGGGTAATGTGATGGACTTGAAAGTTAAAAATACTGTCTGTGTTGTTGTCCTGCCAGGTGTTGGGGTTCTGGTATTTATGTTTTTGTAGTCTGTAATTTGGGGTTGTGTGAGAGTTTGTTTGCTGTGTGGATGTATTCGGATATATCGTCCCGTGTGTCTATGTAGTCAATGTAAACGACCCCTTGAATTTGAGTTAACCATTTTGGTGTTTGCCATGTGATGTTTAAACCGTCGATGATTGGATGTCTGTGTTCTTGGTTGAGTGTGTCTTGTGTTGGGATGTAACTTTAAACCCTCTGCCGCATCTATTGATGAATTTTTGTGTTATTTCATTTTTTTGCAGACAGAGGGCGAACTTGTTGTTTGAAAAGCTGTCATTGAGTGGGGTGGATGAATACAAGGAGGATGTGTTTTTGTTTGGTGGGTGGGGTTTGTTGAGAGCATGATTTTTTGTTTGATGTGTGTAGGGGAGTAGTTTGGGCGTTTTGTAGGTTTGGAGTACGAGGGGTGTTTGGGGCTGTTTTGGGTCGTTTGGTAGGGGGAGGCTGTATGGTTACTGGGGGGGGAGGTGATGTTGCTGTGGGATGGGTGGAAGATTGATTCATCTAGGTCTAGCCCAAAGTCTAAAGGGATGGGGTTAGTGTTGTATGTGGGCGTGAGACCTGGGAAATGTGTATTATTTGAGTGGATGGGTGTAGTGAATAGTGAGTCTGATTGAGGTGAGTCGGGTGTGTGTGAGTTGATGTCATAGTTTGTTTGAGGGTAATGAAATAGTACAAGGCAATACAAAATAAGAACAATCAAAGTTAAGCTTGAAACAAGGGGGACAAAAGATAATATAAATAAAGTTACATTATAGTTTAGAGGGGAGAGGGAGATAGGTGATGAGACTTAGCTAGTTAGCCGTGTGCCTTGCCACTGAAAATGTCCGTGCGGGAGGCGCTATGAATGTGAGAGACAGATTTTAGTGATTTTACAACCGCTTCAGCTGTTGGCTATTTCGCAGTCGATGAATGCTACGAGGCAGAGAACATATATATGTACCTGTGAGAACAATGAAAGTAATAAGATAACAAAGGCGGGAACTTAACAAGGGAAGCCAACAGTTAATTAGCGCTGATAGGTGATTACCAAAGAACAAATGGAAGCCAAAACTTAACCGTATATTAGCTCTGACAGGTAAAAGAATGGAATGGTGCTCATGGGGTACACAGTTCCAGTGACTGTCATGCTCAAGTAACAAAAGTCAGTAGGAGGTGGTCAAAAATGTTTGCCTGGCAGACTGTATGTCATTGTACCCAGTTAATGTCATGGACTGGTTATCTGTCATGTGAGTAAACATCTTCTCCTTCGGGGGTGGTAGGGCAGCCTAGTGGTTAAGCATTCGCTCATCAAGCCAAAGACCCGGTACAATATGTTGAAGCCCCTTTCTGATGTCCCCCGCCGTGATATTGCTAGAATATTGTCAAAACCATACTCACTCACTCTCTCTCTTCTCCTTAGAAACCACATAAACAATGACACTGAAACATCACATACTTGTTCAAATGATGTGTTAACCAAATATTTCAGTAATGCTGTAATTTCTGGTTATATTCCTTGCGTTTCTTTAAATAGTTCTATGTAGCAGAATGACAATGCTTACAGCAAATACTGTTAGATGACTGGCTTTGTTGATGTTTCAAACTGTTGACTACATGTGTTGATGTGTTTGTGAGCTACGGTGTTTAGTCAATTGTTTTTACATAAACATATGTTTTTTCACACTTCAGAGCTGCCACAGATTACCTGATGTATGTTGGGGTTAAGGAAGCGATAATTCTCATTCTGATGGATGTGCTGAATAAAACCTATGAAGAAGTCAATCGTGGGTGTAAATCAACAGAAGTTGATGCCAGTCAAGGGGTGTCCACATCACTGTGGATGACGAATAATGACGGTTTGGTTCACACAGGGAGGATTCAAATGCCTCTGTTATACAGGATGACTGACTTGCTGGATGTGTTGTGATGATTGTGCTTGCACACTGATGTCAACACCCACCTCTTTACAAGAGGTAAACAGATTAAAGTAATTTGATGTATATGAACCATAGTGATATGTCATTTTGTAAAATTAGTATTTCTTTGTGTGACAATGTGTGAATTTATTAAGGCTGGGACGGGTGATTCGTGTACCCGGGTCGGATGGGTACTGAGTAGGACCCGGGTACCCACAGGACTACCCGGACGCGTGGTTAGTGACGTGATGTATTGTTTAATGACAAAAATTATCTAGAACTCTATGCTTACACAACAAGTCACAAATGTCCGCATTTCTTTCTGACTATGCACCCTTTCCTTCTGAGTTTTTTTTTTGGCTGCTGATAGTGAATCCCATTTCTAACTTGTGATCAGAATATGGATGCTATGGATCAGTATTTCGACTTTTAAGAGAGTTTTGACTATATTATTACTCATCTCCCCTCGACCAGAAATGGGATAACGCCTATAAACTCGACAAATAATGGAATCCGAAGTTCACTCGTTCCCGACATGTACATTTAGCGATACGGCTAATTGTGTGAACGAGGACTACTAGATTGGAAGGATATTGTGACTTGATGTAAAGAGATGTATTTAAAAACAACAACACTGTACCAGAGAAACTAGTGATTGTTGTGGGATCAATGACCTAGCCATCGAATTACAGTGGCATTCAGCAAGACGGATACAGATCACTTGTAGCGTTTGTGATAGTGTCTTTGGCAATAATCGTTCTATATCAAAGTGGGGTTTTAGCTCTTCAGTTTAACTGTGTCATATATCACACATGTCATGAACGTGTGTGATGATGACGTGTGTGGTTAACAATAAAATATTTGACTTGGGTTGGATGTCGTTTTGAACGCCGGGTTGGACGCCCCTCTTTGACATTATATTAGTGACTATATATGCTACCTCAAACCGTTTGTGTGAGTGAGTGAGTTGGGCGTAACACCACATTGACTAGTATTTCAGCCTTGTCACCGTGTGTGAGGAGAGCATGTCTGAGCCGTTTACACCATGATGTGAATCAAGGGGATTGTGTATGTTCCAGTCTGAATCATAAATGAAGGATAAAGATAATAATAATCAATGTACTAACTAACAACTTCTGAAAATATGCTTACATTATATATTCGGGAATAAGTTTATTAACCAATTCAGTTAACTATATCATAAGATGACAATGCATTGAAAGTTACGAATGAGTTACGAATTATACCGACACCTCTCGAATAAACCTGGGTCCTGGACGTCAGTTTGATACAATAGTTATTTCAATTGTATTAGACACTTGAAATTACTTGCGAGGTAACAGATGATTGCTTAATTATTTGGTAATTATAATAGTCATATAGTCATATGTGTTATTTTATGTGAATCATTTGATTTTATACAAAATGCAGCATTAATCGCCCCCCCCCCCCCCCCCCCCCCCCCCCCCCCCCCCCCCCCCACACACACACATCCGCCTGCTGTAAGGCTTTTCCTGGAACAACCTTAATATTCAATACAGTTTGTAAGTAGGGATTCCTGTTTTATACTGCCAAGGTGTGTAGCTTATACGTTCTAATTAATTGACGACGTTCGTTTGACCCAGATGTCAAAGTTCAGACATCTCTTGAAGAAGACCAAATACCTTCATGGTTCTTGGAGCTTTAGATTCTTCACAGCAATGACTGCAACTTAATACTCACGTCTCAAACATATATACAACACCAACGTCAGAGAATACCCAGACCCCGCCGAAACAGATATCAGTGGGTGTCAAAGGCAAAACACCGATGGATATTATGTGTATAGATCGATGAAAATCACTTGGTGTTCGCGAAATGGTTAAGCATGTTCTGTCTTGAAGGTAGCACATATTTGCATAAAAAGTAAGTGTCTGTTGTTTGCCTGAGGCAACAACAGCACTCGGTCATGCGACGGCGGCCTGTACATAAACTAGACAATTGTCGTTGAAATTCATACTCTTTATTCCCATTTGGGATTGCATATCACAACAATACATCCCCAATAACAATGAACTGACTCTACAACGCGAGTAACTAAAAAATGGTTAAAGCAAGCATTAAAGCTGTGAATCTTAGCAAGAGAGTCGGTCGCAGTTATAATCCCTGTGAACAAAACGTGCGCCATAATGATAGGTCGCATTGGAGACTTAATTATGTGTTTCTACAATCAGATGAAATACTACGATACTGAAATAGCAAAGTAGGACTTTTGTATTTTGGGAGAATGTAGATATGGTCCGCCAGTCACCAATCGAAGATAATCACCAGAATGATTGAGACGCTTTCAAGAGTATTTCTGCAAAGCTTCACTCGACAGGAATACCAACGGGTGACTCAGGCATGTCAAGGATTATAATCGAGATCAGCATGTCCCTAGGCAGCTAAGGGAGGTAAATCTAGAGAGTGAGTAGCAGGAAATTAGACCATTAACCACAACTGCGACTTTAAAGGTAGCCACTGAAGCTCATTCCAAGCGCTGCTTCATTTCAAAACGTGCCTTTAGACGCTTAACATGAGCAATAAGCGGTAGTATGATACTAGTACTGGTGCAGACAGGGAATTCCAATCTTCATATTTTGGTCACGTGTTACTTACAATCTTCTAGCCGTTGAGTAGATCTCGATGACTTCCTTTAGAGTTGAAATGAGTGAGTGAGTGAGTGAGTATGGTTTTACGCCACCTTTAGCAATATTCCACCAATATATCGGCGGGTAACATCAGAATTGGCTTCACACATTGTACCCATGTCGGGAATCGAACCCGGGTCCACGGCGTGACGAGCGAACGTTTTAACCACTAGGCTACCCGACCGCCCCTGTTAAAATGATACGATGCTTGGATTATAGTTATTCATATTGATGTGACGGTTTTAACTTGTTATTGGACACATTTCTAAACTGATATTACAACATGTGGACACCAAAATAATTAGCAGGTGGAAATTTGTATACCAAGGACGTGTTTGACAAGCTGACAAATAGTTCATCATTCTTTTTCAATTTCAAATTTGCCGCCAAGAAACGTTTGGTGAACTGCCCATGTCTCTCCTTCAATGTCGTCTTGCCCATGAGGAGAAGGTGGCTGTCTGTGTCTATGTGGTCAGAGTTGTACTTCTGGACGCTGTGGACAATGTTCAGGTCGTCGTTTGTGACGACGTCGCTACGTATTGTAAGGAAGGAGTAGATGTAGTACACGCCGTCACGTGGCACATGTAGACGTCCGTTGCTATAGGTAACATTCCCAGTCACGTGTGCCGTCCCATACCCAGGGGAGGAGTCCCACTGTAGATTTTGATCTGATGGGAAGAGAAATAAAGTCATAATTTGTAGACTTTTAATCAGTGTGGTGAGTGAGTGAGTGAGTGAGTGAGTGCGCATTAGATTCTGGCACACAGAGAAATGAAACCCAGAGATTTGAGGCCCTGAACGAGTGGTTGAGTGAGTGAGTGGTTGAGTGGTTGAGTGAGTGAGTGCATTAGATTCTGGCACACAGAGAAATGAGAGTGAGTGGTTGAGTGAGTGAGTGGCTGGGTTAGTTGAGTCAGTAAGTGAGTGAGTGAGTGGGAAAACGGATGGGTGAGTGAGTGGTTAGGTGAGTGGGTTGGTGGATGTTTGAGTTTTGTGTGAATGAGTGAGTTGGTGGGAGGGTCGGTGAGTGGGGGAGAGAGTGGGTGGGTGACTGGTTGGGTGAGTCAGTGAGTGGGTGGTTGTTTGGATTTTGTAGGAATGAGTGAGTTAGTGGGTGGGTCGGTGAGTGGGGGAGAGAGCGGAAGGGTGACTGGGTGGGTGAGTCAGTGAGTGGGTGGATGTTTGGGTTTTGTAGGAATGAGTGAGTTGGTTGGTGGGTCCGTGAGTGGGGGAGAGAGTGGGTGGGTGACTGGGTGAGTGAGTCAGTGGGTGGGTGGTTGTTTGGATTTTGTAGGAATGAGTGAGTTAGTGGGTGGGTCGGTGAGTGGGGGAGAGAGTGGGTGGGTGACTGGGTGGGTGAGTCAGTGGGTGGGTGGTTGTTTGGATTTTGTAGGAATGAGTGAGTTGGTGGGTGGGTCGGTGAGTTGGGGAGAGAGTGGGTGGGTGACTGGGTGGGTGAGTCAGTGGGTGGGTGGTTGTTTGGATTTTGGATGAATGAGTGAGTTGGTGGGTGGGTCGGTGAGTGGGTGAGAGAGCGGAAGGGTGACTGGGTGGGTGAGTCAGTGGGTGGGTGGTTGTTTGGATTTTGGATGAATGAGTGAGTTGGTGGGTGGGTCGGTGAGTGGGTGAGTTGGTGGTTGAGTGAATTGGTGGGTCAGTTGAGTCAGTAAGTAAGGGGGTCGGTGGGTGTGTGGGTGGGTTGGTGGATGTTTGAGTTTTGTGTGAATGAGTGAGTTGGTTGTTGGGTCGGTGAGTGGGTGTTTGGGCTTGGGATGAATGAGTGAGTGGGTAGGTGTGTGAGTGGGGGAGAGAGTAGGAGAGTGGGTGAATCAGTGGGTGGGTGGATGTTTGGGTTTTGTATGAATGATTTGGTGGGTGGGACGGTGAGTGGGGGAGAGAGTGGGAGAGTGGGTGAATCAGTGGGTGGGTGGATGTTTGGGTTTTGTATGAATGATTTGGTGGGTGGGACGGTGAGTGGGGGAGAGAGTGGGAGAGTGGGTGAATCAGTGGGTGGGTGGATGTTTGGGTTTTGTATGAATGATTTGGTGGGTGGGTCGGTGAGTGGGGGAGAGAGTGGGTGGGTTACTGGGTGGGTGAGTCAGTGGGTGGGTGAGTGACTGGGTGGGTCAGTTGGGTCAGTAAGTGAGTGAGTGGGTGGGTTGGTAGGTGAGTGAGTGAATAATGCGGCGGTTGTTTGGGTGAGTGGTTGAGTGGGCCAATGAGTGAGTGAGTGAGATCCTGTCACACAGAGATTTGAGGAGATTCAGATGACACAGCCACCCGGATCAGGCGACAGTGAATACATTATTCCGATTCAGTTGATACTGTGTACTGTACTTAATAACTGAAGCTTTAATACCATACCTAGCGTAAGAACAAGGAGTAAACTTTACCCTGAATACAGTCCCCACTCACAGTAATTGAATAAGAAGTGTTCCACTTCCTTGTAACGATATTCAGATCGCGTGTCAGTTCTGAGAAATCACCTATGCGCCATGGCGTGTGACTTCCTGGTAGCGGTTAAAAGGGTCCACTAACTTAACAACTGTAGGAGATGTTTATATATAGAAGTTTGATCAAATCTTATCTGCGGCTTATTCACAAGTATGTAGCAGGTGTGTTGTTGTGCAGAAGATAGTTGCCGTGAACCCAAACGGAACGCCATTGTGGCTCTGAAGAGTAGGCCTGTTGATGTACCGTAAAAGAGGTCCCTTTTCTACAAATGACCAAATCGTGTTCACTGTTAATAGTGATCATAGTATTTTTCTCTTTGTATACCTTGAAATATACCATTACTTAATTCATGACATTATATTAGTCTCTATATATGCTACCTCAAGCCATTTGTTTGTGAGTGAGTGAGTGAGTGAGTGAGTGGAGGTTAAGGCTTTGTACAGTTGCAACGTCACTCATTATCACGTGGTCTTTAATGTTTAATTCTTCAAGCAGTGTGTGAGTGAGTGAAACATTGGACTAAACGAAGCAAACAGACCTGTGACGCTGTTTGTATCAAGATACAGATGCGCCGCCGGTCTGTCATGGTTGCTGTAAAGGTCACCAATTATCGTGTGGTCTTTAATGTTTAATTCTTCAATCAGTGTGTGAGTGAGTGAAACATTGGACTTAACGAAGCATACAGACCTGTGACGCTGTTTGTATCAAGATACAGATGCGTCGCCGGTCTGTCATGGTTGATGGGAAGGTCACCACCTCTGTTGTCACCGTTGAGGTCATGGTAATATTCTCCGACTACCTAAACGCAAAAGAAATATGTGCAATGATTATTTTACTTACAACATCTTTCATAGATTATAACAGCATAACCGTCCTTCAAAGACATATTTACATGCAGAGCTTTTGAATGTCCTTGGCCTAGAAGACGATTAGCCAGCCACCTGTGGTGCAGAATTATGTTTTCTTGGATATGATTATTTAGAACACTAAAAAAACACTTACAATATTCATATACATCCCGAGACTCTCAGTATTCTCAATACAGCAAAATGAACCTTGACCCAGCATAACGACCTTGACCTGATTCTCCAAAGGTGATCTTGAAAGGTCAGGGACGTTCAGAGAGTCACATGACACACAGACAGAATCAGCAATATCCGGTCGCTTAACCTCGCCTGTAGCAAACGGCGCAGCATGCTCTTTGTGTGTCATCTTGTAGACAATAAATGCACCCAATCCTCCATTTAAAAACATCGATAAAATAAGCACAACAAAACACATGGAAGATGAACACCAGGGTCGGTATTTCTGTGGGCCTTTCTTGTCAATAAAATGGATTTCTTCATAATGCGTTTGAGGAGCAACTTCCATGTTGTGGGTCTGTTTAACGAACACCCCTGCTACAGCCCTGTGTGTACGGTTGGAAGGCTCAACGTCAGTCGGCAGTTACCCGCCAGGGAACCTAGTGTGACAGCCCTGTGTGTACGGTTGGAAGGCTTAACGTCAGTCGGCAGTTACCCGCCAGGGAACCTAGTGTGACAGCCCTGTGTGTACGGTTGGAAGGCTTAACGTCAGTCGGCAGTTACCCGCCAGGGAACCTAGTGTGACAGCCCTGTGTGTACGGTTGGAAGGCTTAACGTCAGTCGGCAGTTACCCGTCAGGGAACCTAGTGTGACAGCCCTGTGTGTACGGTTGGAAGGCTGAACGTCAGTCGGCAGTTACCCGCCAGGGAACCTAGTGTGACAGCCCTGTGTGTACGGTTGGAAGGCTGAACGTCAGTCGGCAGTTACCCGTCAGGGAACCTAGTGTGACAGCCCTGTGTGTACGGTTGGAAGGCTCAACGTCAGTCGGCAGTTACCCGTCAGGGAACCTAGTGTGACAGCCCTGTTTGTACGGTTGGAAGGCTCAACGTCACTCGGCAGTTACCCGCCAGGGAACCTAGTGTGACAGCCCTGTGTGTACGGTTGGAAGGCTTAACGTCAGTCGGCAGTTACCCGTCAGGGAACCTAGTGTGACAGCCCTGTGTGTACGGTTGGAAGGCTGAACGTCAGTCGGCAGTTACCCGTCAGGGAACCTAGTGTGACAGCCCTGTGTGTACGGTTGGAAGGCTTAACGTCAGTCGGCAGTTACCCGCCAGGGAACCTAGTGTGACAGCCCTGTGTCTACGGTTGGAAGGCTCAACGTCACTCGGCAGTTACCCGCCAGGGAACCTAGTGTGACTCAACATGGTTTGTCCAGGAACAACGTCCTGGTTTATTAATAGCACCAAGGCAGGTAAACCGAGAGACAGACAGGTGTTGCATAGGGCCTATTTAGAGTTCGTAAGATGCCCAAGTCTAGATTACAACAGAGTACACTGAAACGTACACTCCATTATCACCGTAAAGTAAATTGTAAGTGTTATTTTCAAGATCCATCATGAACTCGTCACACGGGACACGGGACACGGGAATTTCAACCTCTTTGTATCTCACCTGTGCTAAGGGAGGCAACTCTAGGACTACTATCTTGTTAATGTATGTTGTCAAGGCACTGACGGAATTGCGGTGGGGGGTAGGGTTGAGTTAACGCATGTTGTCAGGGCAACACCGTCATTGCCGTGGGGGGTAGGGTTGAGTTAACGCATGTTGTCAGGGCAACACCGTCATTGCCGTGGGGGGTAGGGTTGAGTTAACGCATGTTGTCAGGGCACCACCGTCATTGCGGTGGGGGGTAGGGTTGAGTTAACGCATGTTGTCAGGGCAACACCGTCATTGCGGTGGGGGGTAGGGTTGAGTTAACGCATGTTGTCAGGGCACCACCGTCATTGCGGTGGGGGGTAGGGTTGAGTTAACGCATGTTGTCAGGGCAACACCGTCATTGCGGTGGGGGGTAGGGTTGAGTTAACGCATGTTGTCAGGGCAACACCGTCATTGCGGTGGGGGGTAGGGTTGAGTTAACGCATGTTGTCAGGGCAACACCGTCATTGCCGTGGGGGGTAGGGTTGAGTTAACGCATGTTGTCAGGGCACCACCGTCATTGCCGTGGGGGGTAGGGTTGAGTTAACGCATGTTGTCAGGGCACCACCGTCATTGCCGTGGGGGGTAGGGTTGAGTTAACGCATGTTGTCAGGGCAACACCGTCATTGCGGTGGGGGGCAGGACTGAGCTGTAGCTCGCCACGCCTAGGACCGGGTTCGATTCCCTTGGAGTCTTCCACCGTTATGCGGCTGATTTTGGTGATAACACTACTCCTATTAATTATGATGATAACAACAATGACACTATCACTACTACTACTACTACTACTACTACTACTATTACTACTACTATTACTGTCACTACCACTACTACTACTACTATTACTACTATTAGTGTTACTACTACTACTACTACTACTATTACTGTCACTACTACTACTACTACTACTACTACTACTGTTACTACTACTACTGCTACTAATAATAATAACAATAACACAAATAATGGCGTGGCTCGATCCTGTTATTACTTCGTCTTCGCCATGTTTGTGGTTTTGGATCAGAGGTCTATCCATGGCACGACACAGAATATGTAGAGGGCGTCATGGAAAATGACAATTATATAATTTTTTGGAATAGACCCAAACCTGACCTTGTCCTTTTTGTTAAATACAACCAAATCATTTACATTATTAAATTCACTGTCCCTTTTGACACTAAAGTGGTTGACAGCGGCCTGTAGCAAACGATTTTGGACCAGGCAATCCAGTGATTGACATCATGAGCAATGATCCAAGCTACGGGATACTGTGACATGCATCAACCAAGTCAGCGAGCCTTACCACCCGATCCCGTTAGTCGCCTCTCACGGCAAGCATGGGTTCCTGAAGTGAGTGAGTGAGTGAATATGGTTTTACGCCGCTTTTAGCAATAATCCAGCAATATCACAGCGGGGGACACCAGAAATGGGCTTCACACACTGTACTCATGCAGGAATCGAACCGAGCGAACGCTTTAACCACTAAGCTACCCCGCCGCGTCAGGTTGCTGAGGACCAATCCTAACCCGGATATTCCACGGGACACGCTGTGGGGTTGTTGGTTTGTTGTTTAACGCCGCACTCAGCAATAGTCCAGCTATATGACGTCGGTCTGTAAATAATCGAGTCTGGACCAGATAATCCAGTGATTAATATCATGAGCATCGATCCATGCAATTGGGATCAACCTAGTCAGCGAGTCTGACCACCCGATCCCGTTAGTCACCTTTTACGGCAAGCATAAGTCACCTTTTACGGCAAGCATGGGTTGCTGAAGACCTCTTCTACCCGGAATCACACGCTGTAAGGCGATGATGGCACACATTGTGAGCACCGGAACCTCATTAGTTTTACACGACAAGCACTGGCCACTGGAGACTCCTTCTGCTCCTGAGTTCCCCTGGGTAGCTTGGCTTGGAAGCCTGGAACATCCCAGTACTTGTAATGACGATACAACAACACTATCCTCTTACCCCTAGAAAAGCATTTCCTCTGAAAATTGATCGGAGAAATATCATCAGGGAGAAGGTTCAAACGTTTCTTCCGGGCCATATCAAGGCTCAAATCGTTTAACAAGGCGGACTTCAATTTTCTAAACTGATTGGTGTATCTTGCGATCGCAAGTGTTGTAAATTTATTCCTGTTAGAAAACACACGAGGGTATCTTTCCATGTCAGTGAGTGAGTATGTTTTACGCCGCTTTTAGCAATATTCCAGCAATATCACGGCGGGGGACACCAGAAATGGGCTTCACACATTGTAGCCATGTCGGGAATCGAACCCGGGTCTTCGGCGTGGCGAGTGAACGCTTTAACCACTAGGCTACCCGACCGCCCCCTTTCCATGTCAGATATTGTGGACACGTGTTTCCAGTATGGTTAAATTCTTGCTGTCAAAACTGTTTGAGAGGGCGACTTGCTTGTCCATTGTCCACCGGAGGCCTCTTGGATGAAATCTCGCTGAGAAACATTCATTCTGAACCGTGTGTCGCCAACTTCTATTTTAACAAATTTCTCCACGTTTACAAATGGTAATTCTGATGAATTCCAAAGAGTCCTCGTCATACTGTGTTCTCGTCATACTGAGTTTTTGTCGTACTGAGTTCTCGTCATACTGAGTTCTCGCCATATTGAGTTTTTATCATACTGAGTTCTCGTCATGCTGAGTTTTTGTCATGCTGAGTTCTCGTCATACTGAGTTTTGTCATACTTTGCATTTGAGAACAATAACGTGAACAGTGATGTATGTATGTACGTTTGTTTGTTTGTTTTTTAACGCCGCACTCAGCAATATTCCAGCTCTATAGATGACGGCGGTCTGTAAATAATCGAGTCTGGGCCAGACAATACAGTGATAGATATCATGAGCATCGACCCACGCAATTGGGATACGATGACATGCATCAACCAAGTCAGCGAGCCTCACCGCCCGATCCAGTTAGTCGCCTCTTGCTACAAGCACAGACGCCTTTCAGGGCGGGCATGGCAAGCATGCTGAAGACCTGTTCCACCCGGATCTTCACGGGTCTTAAATGTATGTACTAAATGTTGCATGCGTCATGCCATACTCATGATTAAAACACATCTGTGACGTCATTCTATTGTTTGAACGCTCCATTATTTTTCAGGAATGGAGAGTTGCTTGTCAACTGTACATTATCTTGAAGCAGCGTTTGATTTTTTCAAATATTTTCAACTACAGAATAGTTTGTCAAAGTGTAAAAGTAGGGATCAGTTTTAAGTAGGGGAATATCCTCGTAACTCTCCATTCCTTAAAAATAATGGGCCTCTGTTCCATTATTTTTAAGGAATGGAGAGTTACTCGGACATTCCCCTATACGTAATTATTGCCTTTCACGCCCCGACAGCAAATTTACAGTCACACCACGATAACATGTAAATAATCGGGGACATGTTTTGTTTGTTTGTTTGTTTGTTGTCTCAGGAATACTGAGACCTGCATCACTTCGGGCGTTCCTCCCACATTAAGCTGACACGTCGGGATATCCTGTGATACAATCTTCACTTTTAGATAGGTCACTCCGTCAACTCAAGTATTCAGTGTATCAAACTATACCGTGCCTTGTGATCCTTCATCCATATAACTTTCATTCATCACACAAATATGGCATTGTTTGTTCGTCTCAGGAACGATCCACGTTTGTTTTTTTGTTGTTTAACGCCGCACTCAGCATTATTCCAGCTATATGACGGCGGTCTGTAAATAATCGAGTCTGGACCAGACAATCCAGTGATTGACATCATGAGCATCGATCCACGCAATTGGGATCCATGACATGCATCAATCAAGTCAGCCAGAATAGGAATGAACCAGAAGGAGGTGCCATGGCTACAGTCAGTTATGTAACCATCCTTTCAATCAGGATGTTGACTGTCGACTCATTGAACCCTATAACTGATGTTTATTCATGGAGGAGTCATAATAAAAACAACAAGGCAGGTTGATAACCGACAGGTTTAGACATATTGTTTGTGTGTGACATTGACAGGCTATGTGTTCTTGTCTTGGAGTGAGTGAGTTGTTTGTAACGCCGCTGTTAACAGTATTCCAGCAACACCAGGGCGTGGCATTGGGAGAGAGCCTGAAGTGATGCCGGTCTCAGACGAACCAACGAGGACGGGTATGGGATTCGAACCCACAATCATAGGTTTATGTTATGCTTAAGGGACGCAACTTTGCACAGCGAATTGTGACGCCTCAGACAAACTGGGTCAGTCGTGCCCCTATACCCCCCCCCCCCCCCCCCCCCCCCCCCCCCCAAGCCTGGGGGATATCCATTGCCACGGAGAACTCTCCCGAGGTGAGTGAGGGGTTTTGGTTT